CAGGGCCCCAGGATCAGGGTTACCGTGGGTAGGGTGGGGTAACAGAGTCCGAAAATAAATGCATTGAATTCTCCTCTTTGGTATTGATCAACCTTTTATGATGAAAAAGAATTTATGATAAAATTTCCAAAATCTTGAAATATGTGACCCCGAGTCAGTGGTTCCTGTGGGGTGGGATGCACAACTGGTTATAAAGTGGAAAATGAATGCATTTTCTTTTTGTTACTTTCATCTACCTCTAGGTGCTAAGTAACCAAAGTAAGCGTGCTTAGTACCGTAAATCTCGAAATTTTTGCTGTAGATAAATTTTTAGCAAATTTGCGAGTTCATTGCATTCGCAAAAATATTTTTCTTCAAAATAAATTACAATAAGAAAATGTGAACAAAGCAGCGGTCATTCGCAAAATTTTGAAACGTAAAAATTAATCAACAGCATTTTGACCCGAATTCGCAAAATGAAATCGACGTAAAAATTTCCAGATTTACAGTATATACATGATTGTGTAGTTATGATACGTAATGATGCCTCTTTACATATTGTGAATTTCATGGCCTCTGGTTTAAAACAAAAGCCAAATTCAGTTGTTGAAAAGTTGTTACAAATGTACATCATACTAAGGTAACCTACAATGTACAAGGTCGGCATGGTGTGAGAGGTCCCGGGTTCGATTCCAGGACGATCCATTTTTTTTTCCGAAATACTTTTTTTTACTAAATGATAGTATTCAGCATGTGAAATAAAAAAAAGTATGAGGTCTAGCTTGTACAAACTCATAATATCATTACAGTGTGATAAATATTCCATATAAAAGGAATCTTCTATACACATAAGCAATCAAATCTTTATATCCATACTGACATATTTTATTTGATTCAGTATACATGTATACATTTAATAATTCTACAAATTCAGTCAGGGAGATCCCCCCCCCCCCCGAACTGCGCATGGTTTACTTTTTCCCTAATTCCCAAATTAATTCATATACTGGATGTGTACTTAAAAAGCGGACCTGATATTTTAGCGGGATTGGCGGATACAGCGATGCACTTACGCTATTTCATAATCACCGTTAATTATTGAAAGCGATATTATTTTTTAGGTCACCTGGGTAAACTCAGATGACCGATTGCTATCCGTTTTCGTCCGTCGTCGTGCGTTAACATTTGAACATTTTCAGCTTTTTCTCTGAAACCCCTGAACCAATTTCAACCAATTTTGGCATATAGCATCTATAGGTAAAGTGGAACAAAAATTGTGTATTTCATGGTCCCTGCCCCCCTAGGGCTTGGGGGATGGGGCCAAAACCTCTCAATTTAGTGCAATCTTTTTCTTTACTACTGGACATCAAGCAGTCAAACTGTTGGTATGATCGTAATCAGCATTGAATTCTCTACCAAAATTGTGAAATTCATTGCCTAAAGGACAGGGGTTCTACCGGTACATATGTAGTGTTAGGGCGGGGCTATATTATATGGTGAAAATGCATAAATGCTCAAGGGCACTAATAAATTAACCAAGTGTATAGTTATGTTGAATATGGCTGCCTTTTCCAAAATTGTGAATTTCATGGCCCCAGGGTCAGGGGTTCTTGTGCTAAGGCGGGGCTATATAGATTAAATAGTGAAAATGCATAAATTCTTTGAAGTTCTTCTTCTCTGCTCATGCGCATTAATTAAACTAACCAAGTGCATAGTTATGTTGAATATGGCTGCTTCTTCCAAAATCGTAAATTTCATGGCCTCAGGGTCAGGGGTGCTAGGGCGGGGCTATATATAAAGATTATATAGGGTCTGGGAAAATGAATTGTTTCTTTGAAAACCTTCTTTTCTGTGCTTGGGTATTAAACCAATGAACTATGTACATAGTTATTGGAGGAAGGATGCCACTTTGCGATTTGTGAACTTCATGGCCCCTGGGTCAGGGCTTCTTGTGTTAGGGCGGGGCTCTGTTTATATAATGAAAATGCATTTCTTTGAAAATCTTTTCCTTCGCTCCTAGATATTATGCCATTTATCTAAGTACATATTTATGATGAAGAAAGCTGCCTCTTCAAAAATGGTTAATTTTTGGGCCTTTGGGTCAGAGGTTTTTGGAGGGGGGGGGGGGGTACATAGTCTGAATATAAATTAATGCTTTAATATTCATCAACAATTTATGATGAAATAAAATTCTTGATAATATTTCCAAAATTTTGAAATATGTTGACCCAGGGTCAGTGGTTCCTGCGCGGAGGGGTGCACAAGTGGTTACAAAGGTAATCAAAGTAAGCTGAAACAACCGTACATGTATTTCCGTGCCAAAGCGATTCTGAGTACAATAACGTTTATTAATTTACTTGCTTTGATTTGCCATTTAAAAGGCCTTGAACACCGAGTCTATTTTAATAGGCAAAAAGCCTATATATTTTTTTTTCAAATTCACCTAATTACATTTTTAGCGCGTATTATCACTTCGCTAACCACTCCATACCGAGATATAATGTCAAATTTTGAAGACGCTAATTTCTGTACACATACCATATATTAGGCTGATTATTTTCGTCACATTTCATCCACGTTTAAAACACAATTTGTATTCTAGAAATGTTGCCCGCGTGGCGCAGTGATTAGAACGCAAATCGCGAAGGAATCCACCCATACGTCACTGGTTCAAATTCCACTGTAGGACGTGGCGTCCCATCCTTAGTACGAGACCGTATTAACAGAGTCCCTGTGTCGGAGTAGGTGCCGGCTCGATAAAGATCCCTCACTGACCAATGGCCCTAAGTGCCGAGTATAGGACGAAATTTGAAGCTCTACATCGACATATAGTAGCGTCTCCATATGAGTGAAAAACTCGGGAGAGAGGGGCGCTAAACAACATATAATCAATCAATCTTACTTTTAATACCCCCCCCCCCCTCGCTTGTAAATGTTGAAATGAATAAATTTGATAGAATTTTTTTTATCAGATTGTGGGATCCCTGTCAATAAAATAAAGAATACCAAGTGGGATGTACGGGACTGGGAAGGAATAGGGATAAGAAAACGTATGCACATTAAATGCTTGGATGCCTTTGAACAGCGAGGATCCGGAATGATCGTGTGCCATAAAAATGGGACCTGGATAACGGACTTGGTTTGTCAAGGTTGAAAAAAATGTTGTTTTTAAGTCTTTGTGTTTTTTAATTATTTACTTTCAAAATCCCTATCTAATACAAAATGTATCTGCTTACCTCGAGAACAAGAGGCCCATGGGCCATATCAGTCATCCGAGAACATTGGCTAAAAACAAAAAGAAGCTAAAATCAATACTAGTAGTTAAACACCGGGGTCTGGGTTGAATTTTAATTTGAATTCTGAACTTCCTGAAGATACTTTTACATCAATATAACCAAAGCCTTTCCTCATCTTGGACATTAAACATTTTTGTTTCTACATATTCCTTTTCAAAAAATCGCAATTGTGGCCCCCTCCTCAGGGAGAGTCATAACTTGAACAAACTTAAAGATGCATAGACACAGATTTGAAGTTAATATTTTCTGTATAATATCACGACTTATATATTGTAATAGCATTTCACACAAAATTTTGGGTTGGTTTGATTGTTACATCCTTGCACTTTCACAAAAGTTTATTTCATTCTTAATACTTAGGAAAAGTAGCCACCTTGTGTATTAATAAAAATGCACGATTCTAAACATAATGCTACAATAAATCAATATATTCAGCCAGTCATTCCTTACATATATAATGAGAGATTAAATTCCATCATCATTTTTTTAAAGAGAACCAAAAGAAAGCCTATCATACACGAGAGGAGCAGTAAAATCAATATCCTGTAAACACACAATATAAAGGGAGAAACAGTAGAACTATGTGATTTTTAGCCGGGCTTATTGCTCAAAGAGCAATTGCCGGCTTATGTGATCCTGTTCAAGGCAGGATGTTAACCCAATAGTCGCCATTTTAAGTTACGTGCAAAAATATAGTTCTTACTCTCAACCGCTTTTGAGATAATACAAACGCTAAATAAAGCAACAAAAATAAAATGAAGTTTTATCTATATAAAATAAACATTTGTAGTAACGACTTTGAAAACTTCATAAGTCAAAGAACATAGTTCAAAGCAGGAGAGGGAACCAGACTGGCCTGTTTGTTAACATTCAGCTGCGTTACCAGATTAATTCTGATTCTAACAAAATCGGACCGTGGTTTTAGGATTGAAAAACTCACTGTCAGTGTCTTATCATTTATATTGATAGTTTTAAAATAATTTTTTCATCAGAATATAAACGTGATTCATGTAAGAAATCCATTCTACTCTGTAAATGAGCCCGGCTCTCTGTACTTCTGAGTACTTTGATATACTTTAAGGTATAATCAAGGATTAATTTTACAATCGTGTGAATTGAGTTAAAACGGACCAATCAAAAAGGAAAAGTAGTGGTCCCCAGTATAAAAGCAAAAAAGAAAATTAAATTATTTTTGTAGCGACGAGAACGAAAAATTTGAATTCAGCTGCTGTGGAAATAAAGGTTTATTAAAGCTCAATTACTTGTTAAATCAATGATAACACTTAAATATATCTTTGTAGTGGATACATGTTATAGAAGCATTTTTATATTAAAGGGTATTTATATTAAATTTCTCAGTAATTGAATCTTTAAAAGAAAATTGAGGAAGGTAGATCGACTGATCATTTTGCTGACATCCCTGAATAAGAGGTCCTATGATGGGCCACAACGACTACCCGAATCAATACGGCTCTGCTATTCATCAGCAGTTTCTTTTTCTATCGTATAATCTTTTATATAACTTGTATCCCTATCGTGACCCCCACCCTACCCTCAGGGTCATGATTTGAACAATTTTACATAAAGATTTCTCCATATCAATTTGACTAATAGCTTCGTTGTTCTTGAGAAAACCGTTCACGGAGCTCAGTCCGCAAAGCACTCGCTCAGTGATCGGGCGGTCGTATGTTCGAATCTCGGCCGCGACTGATCTTAGTCGATAAAATGTGTAGCCCACCGTTCTTTCACCGAGCGCCCTGCACTCTGAATCTTAAGCTGCGGGTCCTTCGGAGGAGACTTCAAACAACCGGGGCCCCGTGTCACGGCAGACGTTGGCAGGATAAAATCCGTTGCTGCTTCATAGCCCGGAGTATCGAGTTAAGGTCAAAATTTGGTACATGTATCTGCTGACGTCTCTGTATGGAGTGAATTTTTTTTGGAGCGGGACGTAAAACAACATACAATCGGTCATTTCCTGTTTATTTCCATGTAAAACTATGTGCTAATATTTCTCATTTGGGCTGAAATAAGGCATTCATAAAGACGGAGTATGAAAATGTCAATGCAGAAACTATAGAACACAATACTAATTCATCAAGTATTTGCAGTGCAGTGTAAGAAAACTGTGCAAGATAAGCGATATATTAAAATTGAAGAGGAAAAGATTCTTTAGGGTCCTTTTTTTTTAAAAAAAAAACTTGCATATATTCCAAGTGTTAATATACGTGTGATTTTGTTTCTGTTTCAGTTCGTACTGATTGTAATGATCACCTTGAGAAAGGTCACACTAATTCCGGTGTATACCCGATTTATCCTTATGGTACTGACTCCAGTCCTATCAAAGCTTACTGTGATATGAACACAGAGGGAGGCGGCTGGACGGTATCTGTTATTTTTACGAATTAAGTTTTAAAATTGGCAAAAGAAATGTTTATTGCTATCTCATTCTGTTGAGCAAGGGATTGATAAGGGACAAGAAACTCACAATATGAATCTTTATTGCACTTTCCACAAACAGATATTCGTCACTATAAAAATTGAATGAATAAGTAGATGTATTTCTTGTTGGAAGGTTATACAAAAACGAGTGAATGAATCCCTGAGCTTTGAGAAGAAGTGGACGGCGTATAAGAATGGTTTCGGAACACCGGAACAGAATGTTTGGATCGGTAAATAAAAATCCTATGAAAACTGAGCCATTATTCCGATTAAATATTTGACAAATGATACATTTAGGAACATATCAATTTTTTCAGAGGAAATTAAGGCCAGAATTTAGCACAGATTATTACATGTATGTAAGGGGTGTTAAGAAGGTTCGTTCCATGATGAAATATTTTCAAAAATATCAAAGTAGTGCTTAACTAAAGAGATGAATTTTCAAGTCTGATAAAATTACAGGGGTGTGCTTTGGATTTATAGCAATTCATTCCTAGCAGGAAAATATTGGATTTTTCTTCCATATGGAAATATAATTGGACCGCTCTCTGGGAAAAGGGGTCTTACTGACAAAATTTTCGAAATTGACTTTTTTGAATATTTCAAATCTACAGTAAATTTGGGACACACAGTCAAAATTTCAGCATTTTATTTGCTATAGTTTTAAAGTTATACGTGTTTGAAAAAAACATGTTGCAATTAAACGATAACATCAATGACGTTATTGAGTAACGTCATCTTTTTTTAAATGTCGTCTTTGAAACAAAGACTTTCAATAACGTTATCTTTGTAAAAAGAAATGACGTATTTGAAACAAAGACTAAGATTTATTTAATGATATAATAAAAAACCCTTATGTTAAATTGATATAAATTATTTTTGCCTAACATATTTTAAATAAAAATATCATTAAGCACATTTATCAAATTATAAATTGAGTCCATCCGTACATGTTGCATAGCGAATAACATTGTGTTTATGTAAATCCAACTTTATTCATAAAAGGTAGACTACAAATGTTTCTTAATATTTTTTAAAGGATTAACAAAATAATTATGATAACAAAGAAACAAAAAAACTAATATACAAAACAATGTTTAGTATCATTACATGTACATTATTCAAGCGGTTAAGAGGCCCGATGGGAAATTGTGACAAGATAAATGTTTGCGGACGTCAGTAAGATCATTGGTCAGTAAAGTAACCGGTCAATCCTGGGAACATTTCTTGTCTTTTACTGATCTTTACTTCTGCTTATGAGCCTTTTCCCTCTACGGACAAAATACCAGGGTTTGTACTTTGTAATCAGTTTGCTACTTTTGTATTCCCCTTAGAGAAGTAGGAAAGTCTTTCATTCCAACCACTGTCATGCGGGGTACCCGAGAGTCGAGTTAAAACTGCACCACGATTGTTTCAGTCTGATCAATGAAGTAGTCTCATAAATTTTTAATCAATGCTGCAAGCATTGAACTTGCATCATAAAACTGATCTGTCCTGCTGCCCCGTCATAATTTGCCACATAACACATGTACATGTATATGTATTCCATTAATAAAAAAATATTGTTTTGGCCGTTGTAGTTATCAGCATGAATTGTACATATACGTAAGTTCTGTATTTTAAAGAAAACGACTAGATCAAATAACTGAATCCTGTCCATGTAGATTTGTAGCTTTACGCAGAGAGAGAGAGAGAGAGAGAGAGAGATCGTCTTTTGCATAGGCGTAGGACCCCGGGGGGGCTAGGGGGCTTAGCCCCCCCCCCTTGTTTGCAAATATATACATTACATAGGCATTGAAAATTGGGGTTTACCTAATTTTGGTGGTTAAGCCCCCCCCCCCCCCACCCCCACTTTCAAAATAGCCCCCCACTTTCGATTTGCTTCCGACGCCTATGGTCTTTTGGAAACCAAACTTCTGGATTTTATAAAGATTGAAGAAATGGAGAGGCAATTGGAGAGCATAATGGGGTATATCTCATTGGTATTGGAGATGTCACTCAGGGCCTGGTTGTTCAAAAGATGGTTAAATTTAACACAGTGGTTAAGGATAACTATGTGTTAAACCTTAATCATATGATTA